GAGTCGACTAAAATCCCCAACCAATGACGTGCTCTGCTTGCAGTTCATATCTCAGGCCCTGGGAGGGGCGTGCCCACGGTTTTGCGTTGAGAGCAGGGCAGCAGTTGCATGTTTCTGAAATGTTGCTGTTTTAGAGAGAAGAGGCCGGAGCCGCTCAGCCGCTTTCTAATACACGCACGTTCTGCCTCTGCCGCCCCGTCTCTAACCCCGTGGACATACCCCCCCCACCCATGCTCGCTTATTAAGACCGCGGACATAGGCGTTTGATCTTCAGTGTTCAACGTCTCGTACAACAGATTGTTGTAATCTCATGTGCAGCCCCGTAGTGCTAAAGCGCCCAGCTTTCATGAGATTCGGTCAAGGTTTACAATTGATGATGTATACCTGGTCAAAGTATAACATCGAGATAGTAGCACCATGGAAGCTATCCAGATTACGAGAGGTGCAATTCTTATAGAGAAAATTATTGTTTGATGTGAAAGAGTCCTCAAAATATGGCACTTTAGTAACTGATTGAACACTTAAAGTTGCAAGCAAGCTGGACAGTCATCTTCGTGGATCCTGATCCTTGCCAGGTGCGAGGTGAGTGATCCGCTGCTGCCTGCAGCATCGTTTCACTTTCTCCGCTCAACAGTGCACAGAAATGATCCTGGAAGGTAGTGACACCCGGGCGCTCTCTCCCAACTCTACCCTAGTAGTGGTACTCTGGCGATAGCCGGATGAAGTTTCCATATTGCCGCACGACCAACCACACGCCTAACCATTGCCAGACGCACTACTTCTTCGCGCCCTCTCACTTTCGGTTGTTCTCCGCCGCTGAGTGCATGTTTCGCTGCGGGACCTTGGTATCCACGCAAATGCTGCACTCTGAAGATATGGCGAGCGGAGTACGGAGAGCAGTTGGGTCCCAATACCCCCAGCTCCCGAGCCACTTTTGAGCGGAGAAATTTTCACGCTGCTGCAGGGACCCATTTGTCTCGCACTAGCAAGGACCATCCACGGAGATGAGGGCACTGTTTGTCTTCAAGGGTGAACTATACAAGGAACTCAGGTCAATGAGTTCCACGCCGCCGAAGAAACACAAGGGCATACCTGAAGAACTGCCACCGTACCTATCTGTCGTGGAGGAAGATGATTCCAGTTGCGAGCGATAAGATAATTTATAGAACGACATACGAGACGAAGCGACTGTAGAACACTAACCGGTGACTGGAACAAACCAAGCTCATCAAACTGCTGCTTGTTCGTTTTGCCCAGGAAGCACAGTCACCAAGCGACATTTGCCATGTTCTGTCCCACCGTCTTCAGGAACTTTCATCTCGACCTCATTATCCAGCAGGCTAAGCCACACCATTTCTGCTCGCCCTCTCACGTAGACGGCATAACATCGCGCCGAAAGGTTGACTTGGTTAGGTCGGCTAGCCCCTCCCGAACAATCAGAGCAGATTCCTTTCCACGATTCGCTCTTTCTCAAAGCCCGCTTTTGCCTAGTATTTTAACAGCCGTACCCGTGAAGCGCGCAGACGATCAATATTATTGGACAGCACTCACTTGTTGGAGTATTTTTAGTTGCACTTCTGGAGGAAGCCTCAGGAAAGGGAACGGCTCAAAAGCATAATTCTTTCGTCGACTTTGTAGCCAGTGACTGTTTTCCGGCTGTACGCCGTCGTTGTGCTTCGGGCGACCCCAACTCTGGAACAAATTCTAGAGTGAATTTGTCAAGACTTCTCCAATCTGGTTGGAGGTACGGGTCATGAGATTCACGTTGCGACAACGAAGCGTCCCAAATGGCGTAACATTAATGGTGCTTGCAGGAAGGGCCCAAATTTAACTGCAAGCTACCATATGTTCATTCGGTTCGTCCAGACCGGAATTTCAGCTGAATGCTATCAAGAAATACTAGCAGGTAATGCTTGTCTAGCGCAGGCACGTCACACACGGTAGAACTTTGCAACGTGCACCCCGTCTCAAATCAAGATTTGTTCCAACAAAAAGAAACTCACCCGCCAATTGGTATACATCATGCAGTTTTCGTGACCATGCTTTGCGCAGTATCCAAAGTGATGATCCGCCTCTGGCCAAGCCCATGCAGACTGATTAGACCTGCCACAACTATCTTGTTAACCGTTCTGCTGGATAGACACGACCACGTACTTAGCTGGCCAAAACGGTAGTGGCACTCACCGACCATGTGTTATCAGCAGCTGCTATCCTAAGATCCGATCCAATTGCGATACGGTGAGTTTCGACCGGTAAACATATCCGAAAAACGTAGCTCTTAAAAAGTAAGATACATGCTGCGATATTCACGCTCAGAGCTTTATCGGGATGGGCCTGCGGCTGGACACTACTAGACACAAGTAAGGAAATGAGGACCTCAGAGTAGTCACACAAACGCCTAAATCCGGCTGAAGACACGAGAGCAGCAACTGCGATGGTATGGGCACGTCTGAAAAAGTTCAGAACCACCTGATAAGGAAAGCGTGGAATTAAATCACAGGGCAAGACAGTACGGTAACTTCAGTAGGCGAACAATCGTACACCGTATCCCAAATGAGCCGTAAATAAATCTGGATGCACACCAAACACAGTATCTCACGACAACAGCGTAGAAATCGCTTGGGGAAGTAGTTGTTGCGATGCTAAGGATATCCAAAGGATTAAAACTATTGCATGTGATTAGAACGATTGCATGGAGTAGTGCTCGTAAGAACTATAGGTCCGTTGGATGCTCCAATAAATCATTTTTCTATTTATAAATGTACTTGTATAATTGGGTTTCAACGGGGTTACGGGGCAGATGTCAACCGAAATTTCTCTAGCTATGAGAATTAGACGACGAGGCAGTTATGACGTGTGTCGGCCGTCGCCGGGAGATGGGCGTGTACGCTCGTCGTCTCTCCTCTCCTGCAAAGCCATCTCTCGTAAGGAGAAGACACGTGAAGTGATTTCAGCCACGAGAGGTTAAGACTGAATGAGAACACCTTGAGGATTCACTATTTGTCCCTTATTTTGTGTCAGTGGCGACTGGAGGGTGAATTTCAAGGTCAACAGGATTCAAAACTGAAACAAGGGGAAAGGTGGACGGCTTCAATAACAGGAATGATAGCTAGTCACGAAAACTACGCAAAGTGATAGGTAGGTAGTCCTTGACATGTGCTCTGAGACGACAATTTATAGACTAAGCATTAGTCAGGAGCAGATCATTCGTATAGTGGCTAGTATGCACTCCATTGTCTCTGCAAACCTGAATGAAATGGGAGTGCTATAGAAGGTGCTATAGAAAGGATAACAACTGACTCCTACAGACCGTGTAATCTCGCACTCCTCGCCCGAAAGTGCTGTGCTTTCCGGGATCGGAAAAGATAGCCTGATAAATCATCTACATGCTGCAAGTGTCTCGACAGTCCTTACTTGCAACATCCATGTAGTTCGACAGTTCATACAAGGAATATTCAGAGGGTGTTTCGAAAGCTTTTACCTTGTACCTTCTTGTTCGACTTCGAACTCCCCGCAATCAACGCGGCGACCACCGAAATGCCTGCCGATCGTAGTGAAGGGGTAAGATCACAGTAATTGCAAGGTCACTCATAATTTTTTATATTATACTGTGGAAATATCCATTCATTGTTTTTTCTTGTACTCGCTCATCCTTCCCACAAGGTGCTCACTTTTGAGAAATTCTCTATGTTCGGTATCGCATATATCCGCACTACTGTGCCGCAACTTATACTGGTTATAGAAGTTCTCTGATAAATGCAGTGTTATGAATCGCATGGCAGAACAAAACTCTTGGTCAATAGATCACCACCCCCTTTCATTCCCTCCCAGCTTCTGAACGAGAGAACAAATGCGCTGCATTCCCGTTGCTTTTGGATCTGTAAACGGTTAAAGATGAATCGCATGGTGATTCCCACAATTGTTTTCCAACAACCACCAATTCCACTTCAAGAATAATACTTGAAGTAAGAAGCGAGAAGGACTGAGTTCCTTCTTATAGTTAAGATCTTCTTGATTTCCTATTTTTTTAACGAATCATTAGCATCGGAGAGTGACCAAACACGAGCAAAGCACGCAACAATCACGTGAACTGGTGATCGTCGGCAATCGGGATCGGTGGATGCCTTTCTGTCTACGCTCTAGCCTTTCTAAGCGGAGACGCAGCGTCGACGAGAGTGTGCGAGACGACCGACGACGCGACAAATTGCTGAGTCACCCATTGCCGCGGTTGACAAAAGCCCGTAGACCCTTCAACGGCACTCATCAAAAATAGTCCGCGTTGGTCAGAATTTCTCATAGCATTGCGGCGGAGTCTTTACACATTACTGAGGCATCTTGTTGAAGCATTTTCCAGATGGAAGTGTCACGACTTTCGCAATCGAAAAAAAATAGTTTTGCATGTTTTCTCCTTCACTGCTTCAATGCGTTGGTTATGACAAATGAAAAAATGAATGCGATGCTGTGATTAATCCTGCTTCTTTCCATGTTCAAGTAGTGGTTTCAATTAGCCACATTCTTAGACATGGTTCTGATAACAGTATAGCCTCCTTGTCTTGTGTTTATCAGTGCCTGCTTGCTTCCTGTTGGTTTCCTGCGATACGAGGAATGATGACATGCATAGTTTTTTTGAACAAAATACAGTAGTACGAGTACGAGATCCATACTCAGCTCTGTCATCGCCACGATGGCCATGACCCTCTCCCCCTAATCATCAACTCTTCGAGGCGTGGGCGTAGCCCCAAACCCTATGCTTGTATAACCAAGATAAACGGTTGGACTATTCGTCTCGTCTGCAATCTACAAAACCGCTACTGAACCGCCACAACAAGCTCTATTCACAGCTTCAAAAATAAGCTCGCAGATGAAACCTCAACTACTCGAGCCATTCGAGGAGCGGTGCTGAAATGAGGAGAAAAACTTCTGCATAGTGCAACGACATTCGTTCACTAGTGTGAAAGGCGAAAACTTTTTCATTCCGATGCAGTCGTGTTGTTTTCAAAACCTAAACAGATTTTTATTCAATCGAGAATCAAGACAAAGCTACTTGGACTAGGTTGCGGTGAGCTGCGTTCATAATTCTCGTCTGCATTTGAGCGTTTCGGGCGAAAGGAACGTTAGCTATCGACCTAGGGTTTTGAAACTTATCAGCGGAATGCTAGCGTTTTGAGCAAAAACTACAGTGTCCGTGTCGATGCTAGATCGATATCCATGCTATTCTTCTCGCCCAAAACGTCCAAAAATGCTCGTACGATAGCAACCACAACACATACGTGCATTGTGCATGCAACTTCGACGCTGCTGTCGTGAGATGATGTGTTTGGTGTGCACCCAGATTTATTTACGGCTCATCTGGGGGTACGGTGTACGATTGTTCGCCTACTGAAGTTACCGTACTCTCAGGGCAAGCGACCACGAACAGAACCACAGGATGGATAGACGTCATCAAAAAGAATCTCACTGAAGTGAATACACAGCAGAAGATGCATAGGGTTGAAGCAAGCAGCATCTAAAAAGAACAGCGGACCCTGCGACGGTTCGGGACTAACGCTAAAGAGAAGGAATGGGGCAGCATTGCGAAATCGTGAATAATAAGGGACTCTGTGATTGATCGCTAGCAATAAGAAAACGAATTTACAGCTTTTTGCGGGCTGGTTTGACACTGCTTTATTCTGGCGGAATACTGATCACCTGAAGGAGAGGCTAAGGTGCGGCGAAGAAACAATAGACCTTCAAAAACGAAATGAGACGATGTACCAATACGCTTCCGCGTTATACAAGAGATAGCGCTATACATGCTTGACAGGCGGACTCTGACCTGTGAAATGGGTGCTAGGGTAAAAAATCGTGGTTGTTCCCTGTCACTATCGGTCATGAAGATGGAGGAATGAGGCCCTATAACAAGGAAATAATAGAGGAAATGAGGCCTATCACAGAAGGGAAATCCTAAACAGAATGATTTGTAGTTGGGTGTGGTTCAGTCTCCAGCAGTCCCTCTCAGGAGATGGTCAGCTGTGTAAAGCAGTTAAAGTAAGTGACACTACTACTGCTTACCACTGAAGAAGGTAGCCAAAGCAGTATATGCTTCTTTCAGGTACTAGAAGATGTCAGCACCACCGCAACAAACTTTTCCTCATCCAGGTGTATTCCTTCCACTCGCTTCAACTCCTAATCCAACCGGATTCGTTCCTCCACCACCTTGTCTTCCACAGTTGAGATGTTTGCCCCCACCCCCACCTTTACCACCTCCGCCTCCACCACCTCCTCCTCCTCCGACTCATACAGGATTTCATGCAAATAACTGGACAAATCCTACGATAACCTATACTCGCGTGACTGTCGAAGATCTCTTTGCATCAAGTACAGTGAGTGTTACTTTCAGTGACAAGACTAAAGCTACGTTCATCCTTACTCACTTTGAAAGTGTCGAAGCTACTGCGAAATGGGGAAAGATATGAATTGATTGGTTTGGCTCCGCCCAAGTGGAGAACAGAGAATATGTGAGAGAACTTGTTGAATCTCTTGAGAGAAATCAGTTTATATCTAGTCCCTTCCGTTGTTTCTCCACTCGGACGAAGTCAAATAACTCGATATGCACCCAGCTCTTCCAGCAAACTCCTGGGTTTATAAATTTGGATTATATCACCAAATAACTGGCTGAATCTATTAGTCGACGTTCTAGGTAACTACAAAAATGCCTGTGACATGGCCGTCTTCCATGCGCTCGTCACAACTCAACCCTAACGCGAACCCATTCCAGCCTGCCTATCAGCGTCCACAGACACTCCCTCCGTAAGTGCTTGTCACTAGCTATGTCAGCACCACCTTTCTAAATTCTTGTCACTAACTATATTGGCACCACCTTTCTAAAGTTGAACTGATCTCAGGTCTCAAAACTAGTATGCGCTGCAGTCTTGTTCGCTGCGGACTGGGGTGTGTTAGGGGGACTGGAATTGGCGCGATGCCAACTCGTTCTCCACCAGTTATTGAAGCGAGTAAGCCATAGCGTTCGGTGGAAACGTGCGCCGAGCAAAACCCAGCCCTCTAACACGCCCCCCCCCATCTGCTGCAAACATGACTGTACTACTGCTCTTCAGCACTCTTCATCAGCACACAGTTCACGCTGATCAAGAGAGGCAAAGATAGTCAATCATTATGCTGTCCTCTTTGGCAAATCCCTCTTCTTGATCAGCCACTTACCAATGAGGAAAACGCAATGATGAGCCTGTCCCCGCCAACAAAATAAGTTTGGGTTATATCTTGGATCGAATGTCGAGTGTGTGGTGTCGCAAGCGCGCATCGCAGAGTTTGGCGCGCGCGACGGATGGGGGGGGGGAGGAGAGGGCATCTTGCACTCTTGCCAGTTGCTCCAGCTTCACAAGGGTTCACAGATTTCATCAGAGTGAGACTTGTAAACCGAAACTAAGGAAGCAATGACAGTTCAAAATGCCCCCCTCCCGTCGCCGAAACTGGGCCAGCGCGCCGAACTGCGCCAGCGCGCAGTTAACTCACCACGTCCCAAAACGCGCTATCGTCATAATGAGTAGAGAGTAGTGAGAGCGTATCTAGTCAGGTATGTCATATGTCGCGTAGTGTAGCCACATGACTCGCGCGCGACATATGATAAGACGCGACAAAGCTGCGCAGCAGCTATGGACTTTCATCTGATATTTTTCAGACCTCAACGCTCTCAGCCAACAGAAACAGCTCTGCTAGCCGCTAAAAGCGCAGGTCAGTCCAGCTTTCGAGAATCAATGTTTGCTGAACCACTTCGCTGTGGGGTAGCGATAGATTGCCAAGAGTGACAACAACGTGAGTCTCCGCCCACACAAATATGGCGGAACGTGCATTCGAAGTGTTCAGTATAATTCTATACTAAATCTAATATCTTGTAGTGAACCTCAAGCCGACAGCAACTCAAAACACAAGCACAACCAGCAGCGAAACTCTCCCAAGCACTCTCGCAAATCGCAACCTGCCTCAGAACACATACGTGAGCAGAGGCACGATGTACTTCGGGCAAACAACTACGCCTTCGTTGGTCGAAGAAGGAGACGAGGTGTGCTACTCGGGTATTTTATTTGCTCTAAGAAATGAATATTATCATAAGGACGCTTATTTGCAAGCAAAATACTTGATACCAGCCAGGACTCGAACTGTACATACCTGACGCTTTAGCCACGCTCAAAGTTCTCGACTGGAGCAATTCAATCACGCGAATGTGTTCGGCCCGCCAATCTTTGGACCGCTACAATGATCTCAGGATCACGAGAAATCCCATCCCGGATGGAACTGGATTCGCAGTTGCAGCGGTTCAACCGTTGACGATGGAGCACTCTGATTCTCTGATCGCGCGACAGAATCGCTCAAGCCGCAGAGTATGAACGCAGGCTTATTGGTCCACAGTGCTCATTAACACGTTCGAGGCGGCGTGTACTCCCTGAAGTACACGCGGAAACCCCTGTTTTCGGTTTCGTTCTGCGAAAACACGCGCATATTTTTTGTTCTTTTTGCGACTGATTATATACTGCTAGCATACATTTACACGATTAACACACCAATACGAAGAAAAATTGTAAAAATAACAGTCAAAAACAAACGACGAACGTGAGGTCTGGGCGAAATGGCCTTCACCTCGAATGTGTTAAGAACCACAGATGCCGTTTTCATGTTTCTCAGCTTCATGGCTTCTGATACGATGCGTGATTTTGACAGAATTAGCATACTACACAGGTAAGGGTAAAGCTCAGCTCCGAGTCTTGCTTGACACCAAGCAATTAGCTCACAACTCAACATCTTTATAATTAGGTTGTCCGGAAAGTTCTCAGCGTTTTGGGTGTTTCACTTTGAACGATCGTAACTTTTTTAATACTCATCGGATTTAATCGAAATAGGCACCATTCGAATCAGCACACTTTTGCCAATGTGACAGCAGTCGAGAAATCCCATCAAAGTAAAAAACTGGGTGGTCGAAAATTCACGAAATCCACTAAGGCTTTTTTGCCTGGTCCTGATTGATGAAGTATTTTCCAGCAAGGGAGTTCTGAAAATGTTAGAAAAGGTGATAGTCGGTTGGCGAAAGGTCTGAAGAATATGGCGGTTGAGGTAGAACTTCAACCCCCAATTCGTTCAATTTATGGATAGTGATTTGTGAAACGTGTGGGCGGGCGTTGTCATGCAAAGGAATCGGACCCTTTCTTTTGATAAGTGTTGGCTGCATCTGACAAAATTTTCGGTACATTTCGTCGATTTCTTCACAGTAGGACTCTGCTGTGATGGTTTGGCCTGGTGATAAAAAGTTATAGTGGATCACACCAGCCGATGACCACCAAGCCGTGACCAGAATCTTTTTTCGTGAGGGTCGGCTTTGAAAATTACCTCGGTGGTTCGTCGAAATCCAACCACTGTCCGGAACGTCTCCTGTTATCATACATGACCCATTTTTCATCACAGGTGACAATTCGGCCCAAAAACAGGTCGTTTCTGCTGCGCAAAAGCAATGCAGAAGGAACCTCGAGACGTGCCGATTCCTGCCGGTCACTCCGATTGTGGGGCACCCAATTGTCGAGTTTTTTCACCTTCCCAATGCGTTCCAGACCATCTGCAACAGTGGATTTGCCAAGGCCTAGCTCTTCTGCTATCTCTCGAACTGTTTGGGATGGGTCAGCCTCCAAAATCCCCTAAAATCCTCGTCAGATATTGCTTTAGGTCGACCGCTATGAGGTTCATCTTCAAGGCTGAAATCTCCAGAACGAAATTTGTTGAGCCATTGCCGCACAGTGCTTTCTCTAGCACTATTGGGCCCCCACACCTGGTTAATTTGTT